GGCATCAAGCATCAGTTTCTCACTCTGTGGAGACACTCCAGAGGAGATACAACAGCTGTTAGTGGCTAGACCATGACACCCTAAGATTTCTTCTAGTTCTAGAACTGAATATCTTCCATGTAAAACACCCCTTTTTCTGAAGTTAAAACATCAAAATAAGGGATGCAGAAGTTTTGGAGCTTATTGAGTGTCATTTAAAAAGGCCCTTGGGGAACAATTTCCAGTTCCAGTTGCCATCAAGTTAATTCCGACTCATGGCAACCCTATGTGTGTCAGAGTAGAAGCGTGCTCCATAGGGTTTTCAATGGCTGTAATCTTTCAGAAGTAGGTTATCAGGGCTTTCTTCTGAGACGCCTCTGGGTGGACTCAAACCTCCAACTTTCTGGTAGCAGCTGAGTGGGGAAAATTAACAATGGGTAAATGTATTGTACTCATGACAGACTGACAAAAATTACTTATGTTTTCGTTTCAGCAAAAGTAGCTCCACCTTTAAGTAAGTTCATTATCTTTTTTGTAATTTCCATATGCATTGGACTAACACAGGGTAAATGGGACTTTTATTAAATTGACAGTTTTCATTTTCAATAGAGCAAAATCTAACATTTTACTAAATTATTGGTAATGTCCTTGACATTCAACCTACTGACTACACTGAAAAAGACTTTAAATCCACTGACTTTCCAATATCAAAAAAGAAGTTTCACTCAGAAAAAAAGTCCATACAAGCTATCTTTAGTGAAATGATTAGAAGTAGGAAAAGTAAGATAATCAGAGAAATAAAGAGGCAAAACTCAAGAAAGTTAATTGTGAAAAGCAATTGTGACAACTAAACTGCAAGCAACCTCTAAGCTCTAAAGGTAGTATCCTAATGTATTATTAGAAAGCTAGAAAGCAGAGGAGGAAGTTCGTTTTTAAAATAAGCAGTAGCAATATTTCCCTCAGGATTTCCAAATTATTCGAATATCATTAGAGAGGAGTACAGATGCAGGGAGGGTAAAATATAAGAGCTCAAGTTACTAGCAAAGGTTGAAACCCAGTGAGCTCTGGCAAGGTCCTGTGTGGTACTTTTCTTGCCACTAGAATCTTAGGGAGAAGGGGAGACGATTGGCTCTTTCATTTCTGCTAATAGAGGTTTTGGTGCCAGAGGGGAGGAATACAGCCTCCTCCCTTGGAAGGCTGTCAGCGGTAACATCCTCTAAGTCACATGGGAAGAAAACTAATTTATTTCTTTGTTTTTGTATTATAGGAGAAGATCTTGCAAACAAAGGTAAACCGTTTTTAGCCTCCAATGTCTGGTTTCCTTTATGTTTCCTAGTGACTAAAATATTGTCCTTCCCTCTGGCATTTTTTATTTCCAGTCATATTCATATTAATCACTCTCTTTCTTTATGTCATAGAATCAATTATTAATAATTTTGGAGAAAATATGGATCATATTGGGATTAGAGAGGAAAATTAGTCAATTGTATAAGGTCCACATCATATAAAGAGCAACATTGATGGTGTGCAAAAACTGAAAAGTTTTGATAAATGAGAAGGAACAGAAAAGAAGAAATAAAAATTAAGACTACAAATATTTAATGCTGAAATTTCTCATTAGTACTCTGAACCTTGCAGTGTGGAGGAAGTAAAAGAATAGGCAGGATTTCACCTATCAAAATCCCTTGCAGGCACAGCTCAACCTTATTGGAAAGGTGGCATTACAAGCACCACTGTATGATGGCTCCTGAAAAAATAACAGACGTGACAGATCTTCCTCCACAACTCACTGCCCATGAATAACTGTACTTGATTGTTCCAAAGAAATAATATGAGTGGGAACTGTCGATTCACTCATTTGTCCATCCAACAAATATTTCCTGTATGTCATATCTGTGCTCACACTCTGCCAAGTGTTGGGAATTCAAAGATAAGTAAAACAAGGTCCTTGTTCTTTATAGAACTCATAGTTTAATAAAAAGATAGACACATAAATTTAAAAAAAATAGTCTGATAAATGCTATAAGTCATAGTACAACAAAATTGGGCCAGATAAACTTTGTTCTGGTCTTTCTCAAAAATACTGAAAAGAATTATAGTCTGAGTCTTGAAGAGTGAGTAGGGGGTACCATGATAGATTTTTATTTTGGAAATATCACTCTGGACACGATGAGAATGTGTTGGAGAGAACCAGCGATAACAGGCAGGAGTACAAATGATGAGACTGTTACAATAGACCATGGAGGACCGAGTGAAGGTCTGAATAAGACTCAGTGAGCCTAAATGTGGGGATAATGAAGAGAGCAGTGTAGGATGAGCCCCAGGTTTCTGTTGCTTGGTACTTGGGTAAGTTGGTTAGATGGCAGAGCCATTCATCAGAGTAGAGAAACACAGGAAAAAGTGCAGTACGGGAGCAAACAAAAAAAAATTAATTTCGTCTTGAACTTGGGCTGTTTTAGATAACTACAGAACACCATTAAGGAGATGCCTAACAAGCAGAAAGAAGCACAGACCCACGGCACTGAGAAATGGTTAAGCTAAAGTATTCGTTTTGGAAATCATGAGTATATTAAACTGTAAATGTGAGTGAGAACACAGACAGCATTTGTGGAGGGAATGGAAAAGGGCAACATCCTGAGGAAACCAGCATTTTAGGGACAAATGGAAGAAAAATCAGAGAAGTAGTCTGCAAAAGAAAACTGAAGATACAACAGGCAAAACAAGAGCAATCACATCAAAGAAGCCAGCCTATCCTAGAGGTTTATGAAGAGAGTAGTCATCAAAGTACTCATAGCAGATAAACAAATGTGAGAAATGTGAAGTAACTGCTGAACCCAGCAAAAGGGAAGCCATTATGTCGAAGAATAATTCGAAGACAGACTGTAGCTAACAATTTGCTCTTAAATGGGACAGACTAGCCTTTCATGGCAAAGGAAAGATTTCCATAGCTCTTAACCACTGTGCCACTAGACCTCCAAGGAAAGATTTATAAAAGCAAAAACCATAGATGGTCTATGGTACAGAGAGTCTTGATTCTTGGTCCTTGGGTAAGTTGACTGGCTGAGAATTATCAAGAAAAGGAGGAGCTTTTCCTTGAGTCAACAACAGAATTTTCAGAGAAGGCAGTTTAAGTTCCTTGTAGACTGTTCCAAGAAACCCTGTGATGTGAGTGAGCCATGGACTGTGTGAGCTGTGTTGTCCATCTCTCTGTGGTGGTGCACTCCATTTCCCACATTATCATTTCTTAATTAGTGACCCAACAAGAGAAATTTCAAAGAGTAATACAGACAAAATCTACTAGCTGGAGAACAAATTGAAAATAAGGAAAGGAAACAACAATTATAAATTAATTTTCTAAGAATGTGGGCCATGAAGGAAAACAATATGATAACACATTATCCAAGGAATCACAAAACTAACAGTGGGAAAGAAATGAGGTATTGTATGTACCCAGAGAAGATAAAACAAATGTAGAGGTTGAAAGTAAGGAGGGATGGTGGATAAATAATGAAACAAGACCTAAGGTTCAATGGAAAGATGTCTTTTTGCAGCATACCCAAAACCCATTGAACCAGGCTCCTTTGCCTAAGTAGTGATCTTACGACATCCTAAACGGGGTCCTGTTTAAGGCTTCTCTAGTATCTTGCTCGGAGCCCTGGTGGTACAGTGGTCAAGAGCTCAGGCTGCTAAGCAAAAAGTTGGCAGTTCAAATCCACCAGCTGCTCCTTGGAAACCACGTGGGGCCATTCTGCTGTGTCCTATAGGGTTGCTATGAGTCGGAATCGACTCAAAGGAAACGGGTTGGGTTTTTTTGGTTGCTCACCCCTTTAATAGAGTACTTACCACATTTCCATAATAATTTATTAACATAACTGCTAACTTCAACTTTATGAGACTTCAAGGCCAAGCAGCATCTGCTACTCCTCTCCAGTACCCAGTATTGTGCTTGGGACATGGCAGATATTTAATAGACACTTATCAAATAAATGGAGGAGGCTCACCCTCTTTTCCCACGTCTAGAAAGCCTGGAAAGAGGTAAAATCGTAGAGGAAACTTGGAGTCAAACAAACCTGGATTCCAGTTTCAGATCTGGTGGTCATTAGGCCCTTGACTGAGTCCAAGTTAGTAGTACCTCTCTGGCCTCAGAGAAGGCAATTAAACACGCACACCCACACATTTTTTTTAAAGAAAAAAAGGAAAGTGAGAATTTTTAAAGTCTAGAAAATAAATTTTTTTTTAAAAGAGAGAGAGAGAGACTCAGAGCAGTGATATTATAGTACAAATATAGCCATCATGGAGCTCTGGGAAGCAGCATGCCATGTTGGAAGGCAGATTCACCGGGTCTTGGCTGCTTTGGTTCAAATTAATAGCTGTGTGATCTTGGGCAATTCACTTTACCTACCCAGACCCAGTTTCTTCATCAGTGAAATGATAATAATAGGATCATTGTGAGGATTAAATTGGCTATTAATTTAGAACAATGCCTGGCAAACAGTAAAAGATGAATAAAATTAATGATTATTACTTAGTGCTCTACATTTGTTAAAGGCAACCCTACTATCAAAATCTTTAGTGACCTCCCAGGCATGCATTTCTGTTTTATTCTAGAAAGAGCTAAGAGAAGATAGAATGGGATCTTTTCTTTCCTCAGCTTTAATTTAGGGTCAATTTAGGTTTACTGTTGCTAATACTAGCTCTTAAGATGCCCAGCTTTTCAAATATCCTTATTTTTATTTCTCCTGCCTTTTCCTTGTTCACCCCTTTAATAGAATACTTACCTCATTTCCGTAATCATTTGTCAACATGACTGCCAATTTGAACTTTACAAGGCTATCAAGTCCTTTAAGGCCAGGCACAGCATCCACTACTCCTTTCCAATACCAGATTTTTGTTAATTAGCAAGAAATATTAACAATGATTAACATAAAAATAATAAATACAGCCAAAATGAAAAACAAAATAGGGAGACCCTTAGTCTCCTACCAATCAACCATACTCACTTATCTGTTTCTGTATTTTAGGAATGGCCAAGAAATCAATTGGTAAGTTATTTTCCTGTATCTCAATCTGAATATTTTAGGAGATACAAGTGCATGAAGAGCATTATAATATCACTTTGTAAATTATAATATTCTTATTTTCCATTCTAGGTTCCCTATCCTTTATCCATTAATCAGCACTTTTTTAGATTGTAACAGTTTGCAAAAAAGTTTAAACATATATAAAATATTAAAACTTGCATCACTATAGACTGGAATCTATATAGAGGAGGAAAGTCCAGTTTGAGAAACAACAGTGATAAAAAAAATAATAAAGTAAAAGTGCTTAAACAACTTACCACTTTCCTAAAAGCTTTTCCACCATCTGCCTGCACTAGAAGGGAACATAAAGGCACCCAAAGGAATTTACCTGCTTCTGCAAAGGTCTCAGCACATGTCCTCCAATAAAGGACACTAAAATCTGCAAAATGGGGCGAGCTCTTAAAATGAGCTTTCGTTCTAGCCTCAATTCCTATATAGTAAGATGTTATGGGATATAATTTTGGCCCCCCAAAATATGTGTTAAGTTCTAACCCTTGTACCTGTAAACATGATCTTATTTGGCCTAGAGGTTCTGAAGTCTGATTGCCTGGCTTGGAGCCTAGCTGCACCACTACTATTTGTGACTTTGGGTTTTGGACTTGCTTAATACCTGGGACCCCTTCTTTCCCTCCTTTTTTTCCCATTTGGAAAGGAAATTCCATCTCCCTTATCCCTGGTTCACGATTATACTTCGGAAGCAGATAACTTGTTTTCTAGGTTTCACAGATCCACAGACGGAAAGGAATTTTGCCCCAGAATGGAACACCCAGAGTGTCACCCATGCTTGATTTAGATAATTCAGAAGATGAGATGTTAGACTTAGGGCTGATGCTGGAATAGGTTAAGACTTTTGGGGATAATGTGATAGGGTAAATGTGTTATGCACATGGGAAGTCCATGAATTTGGGGGGACAAAAGGATAGGATATTATAGATTTAATTGTGTCTGAATTAAAGCACACTGATTACTGGATAATCATTTAAATTTCTTGTCATATCAAACATAAAATTATAATCATACACATAAGTAAGTCAAGAGAATAAAAGTGTTTGTTTTGTATTTCAGGAAGAGCTGTACCACCTTCTGGTAAGTTTATTATCTAACTTAAAATACCAGCATTGTTGTTAGTTGCCATTGAGTCGGCTGGGGAGAAAGGAGTTTAAAGCATAAGAATTTTTGCTAGATTTCTAAATGGTAATAACCTATGGGAAAAGGTGACAAATATAAGTTAAATGAGCCCCAGAGAGAAAATTCACTTATTTTTTTCCACAAAATTAAGAGACCATGAAGTCATCAAATTTGGTAGAAAAAATAATGTGATTACTATGGTAAGCAAGGGTTAACCAATTTGAAATCCCAAACATCTATGTACTCATTATAGAGCTACAAGGGGCAAATGGAGATTACATAGTTAAAGAACATGAACACAGAAACCACACAAGAGAAAACTGCAAGAATAAATGTTAATTATTAAATAAATGCACATTATAACCTTGGTAATTTATAATTTGGTGCTTATTGGATGAGCAAGACTAAACTCAATGTTTTTGGAGTAGTAAAGAAACATGTTTTTCTTCAGGTAAGTGACAGGATTTCAAAATGATTAACATTGGACATGACCAAAGAAAATATTACAAAAGAAAAAAATATTGTAGCAAGTTATTTATAACTGAGCTAAATGTTTTAGCCAAAATTTAGGAAAGGCCCAATTAGCTAACTATAGAGGAATATCTTGGCTATTAATACAATAATATATTATATTTTAATAATGGATGGCAACTCTTTTTCTCTAAATTAGGATTTGCTGAACCAACCAGTAAGTCACTTATTTTATTCTCAACTATTGAGCCCTTTAATCTAAAAGAGAATCTAGAACTAATTTCTTCAGTGTTATGCTTTTCAATTCTGTTATGCAGAACCTGATCTTATTTTCACTGACTTGCATTCCAACTTCCAAGCATCCCCCACTGGATTTTTCTGACAGGGAAAAGTCTGTTAATTTTAAAAGGGAGAGATGAAACACAGCCCAAAAAAATTCTGAGATTGGTCTGGTTTTCTTATTCAAAATAATGGAGGATACTTGGAACAAAGGAAGAAAACAAAACACAGTAAGAGAAAAGGAAAAGAGAAAATAAACACAGGAAAATTAAAGAAACAACCAAGGTTAAATAAGCAGTGATTTTCCATTCTCTGAAAGGTCTCAAAGGCTGCAAAGAAAACCTGAATGTGTGTGTGTGCGTTTGTGTGTAGTTAAATATATTTGATGGGGTAGGCTAAGGTTCCTTTAAGATTCTTTTCTATCCCAGGACTGCATATTTTACACTCTTAAAAAAGTGCTTCCTTGTCTGGATTTACAGTATCAAAGTGACTGTAGTTTCAATGTTTCTTGTATGTCATTTCAAAAGACTTCCCAGGGGAAAATTAGCAGTGTTTAAGCCCAATAATAGACTAATGAAATAGGTTAATGTTTATTTGTTTTATATTTCAGGAAAAGCTGTACCACCTCCCGGTAAGTTTATCTTACTTACAACACTAGTATTGTTATTTGCCATTGAGTCAGCTGACACATGTACGTAAGGTCACCATAACACTAGTATACACTGGACTAATACAGCGTGCATACATTCTATTAACACATTTTCATTTTTAGAAGATAAAAAGCCAATAAGTTTAGAGGTATTGGTGATTAACTTGTAATCGAACCCCACAGATTTGTGCAAAAAATAAACTGAGAACTATATTGTGGTAGCAAGGAAACTTAAGTCCATTGAAAAAAATTAGAATGTTCACGCTAAACTCATTGCCGTTGAGTCGATTCTGACCCATATTCGTGCTAGGACAGGGAAAAAAAACAATAACGATGTTTTAAATAAATTGGAAGAAGGAAAAGGATATTAATTATGGAATTAAAGGTGGGGAGGGAAAGAAGGAAATAATTAAAGCAGCATCTAAACTTTATACACGGTACACTAAGTATCGTTAAAAGGATAAAAAAAAGAGGAAGAGTGAATACAAGAATGGTCTATATACCTATGTTTCTGCTAGGACTTCCAAATTATAAAATCATAGTAGCTGGTTTGGACACTTTATGTTCTAGGGAAACTAAATATTGAAACAACACAAAGACATATTTTGGGTAGGCATAAGGTAGTAGGTCAAACAACTCTGTTTATTTTTGTTTGTTTTTCAGGAACTGCTGAGAAAATTTCTAGTAAGTTACTTTTCTATGAGTAGTGTCTGGAAAAATATGTGCATGAAGATCTCATGATAGATCTAAGTCTGGCCTTGGCCATAATCAACTTTGCAAATCGCAATGTTATTGTTATGCTTTCTGTGTTCCCCTCACGTTAGTGAGTCTTCATAGAGATTACTGACAATTTGAAGGAAAGCTTAAAGGCACTTATTATAAAACTACATGCCACAAAACAAATAAAAACCCTTTCAAAACAAAATGTATAAAAAAGCTGTATAGAAGACAAGAATTCGACTTTGAATGTAAAGGGTAATAGGTAAAACTTTAAATACAGAAACACTATAGAGCTCTCTTAAAAGATTTGAATTTTCTCTTTTGCCTGGATAAGAAAAGTAAAGTGTACAAAGGAATAGCCTATCTCAACAGAGGCCTTTCAAATAGAACATGAAAATTTCTGAGATGAATCACCTCTTAAAATGATATTTCATTAAACACAAATGGACTCAACTGTTTTGAAACTCCCTTGCCTTTTCTTTTTGGAATCACCCTCTGAAAATTGCATGAGGGACAATTTTATTCTAACTCACAAACCTAAAGAAATGTATTTATTTGCTATATTTTAATATACTATATACATTATTCATGTCTTATTTTTCTTTCTCTTTTAAAGAACCTTCATCAATAATCAGTAAGTTCTTTTTCAAATGCTAAATACTATAGAATGTAAGCTAATTTTGCTCTCTATTGCTATTACAGTGTTAACAGTGTAAAACTTCAATACTAACATTTCTCTAAACTTTCTCTGTGTGATATAGATAATTGATGATATTGTTAAATATTAAGAAGCAACAACTAATAGATTATACATGTTATGAGAAATACTATCCCTATCAAACCACTACTTGATGCTGACTCCAAGGTGATATTCATAAGCATGAGCAAAGAGATGGGCTAGTTAATAAAAGCGTAACAAGGAGAAAAGAGATTAAATTGTATGACTTCTTGGCAGGCCCCAAAATGGTATAAGCCTATTGCAATGGATGACAAAGGAAAAGCTTAAATGGGCTCCAGGAAGACAATTTACGTTGCTCTTCCACCAGGGTAAGGGAACCCTAACCTTAACCATCCATACCTTAACACAACAAGAAAACACCAACAACACTTACTGTGTAATACAGATTCCTTCAAAGCAACAGAGTAGAATTGATACAATAGATGCTAGTACAATTTTGACCTACCAAAAATGTTTGTGTCATTTTTATAGGTCAACAACTTTCCTATTGATAAATGGTTGAAGAACATGTACAGTTAATTCACGCAATAGAAAGTACAAGCACTGAACATTTGGAGAAGTATTAAGCCTCAGTAACTCAATAAACATTTGGAGAAGTATTAACCTTCAGTTTATTTGAATAGCTAAATACATTCAAATTTTAACTACTGGGATAGATTTCTTAATTTGTATTACATAAGCAGAGACAAAGTCAGTGATGCTATAGTGAAAAAACTTTGTCTAGATTTAGAAGTGACAAGTGTCCAAAATAATTTTTTACTTGCTTTAACTCATACTTCCAAATTGTGCATTATCACTACGAAATCTCACCACTTCCTAGTAAGTACCTTCATATTTATAATTCTGTTCCCATAGTCCATGGCTACGTGCACAAGACTACTATTAATTTTTATGGTTGTTATTTTTCAGTGGAGCAAAAGCCAAGAATTTTACTGTTATTGACAATTATATTGAAACTAAACACAAATGGTTTATAGAAAGAATAAACTGAGAATATGAAACAAAGGAAAAGGAAAATAATTTCTAGAAATATATTTACAACTAAATAAGTATCATAGCTAAGATCTAGAAAAGAGTCCAAATATCTAACCATGGAAGAATTGGTTGTTAATTCAATAATATATTGCATTATAATTAGAAGTGACAATTGCTTTTTCTCTGAATTAGGATTTGCTGAACCAGTTGGTAAGTTATTTTTTTCTTTTTCTCAATCATTGAAATTTTAGTTTAAATAATAGGCTGAAAGTTATTTCTTCAGTTTTTGGGTTTTTTTTTTTTTTTTGTACTTCAGATGAAGGCCTCAGGAGTGACTTCATTACTGAGCTAAAAGGGTACCCGGAGGCCATACTCTTAGGGTTTCTCCATTTAATTTTTTTCAATAGTTTTTTCAGACCCTGTTATTTTTTCAATTGCTCCTCATGCCAATTAAAAACCAGCTCCTGATGAATTTTTGAATGAGAAAAATCAACTGAGGAACAAAAATAAGTTTAAAAAACAATACAAAAGACTCTAAGATTAGTCATCCATTCTTCAAACAAGGGAGTAATTGAAAAAGAAGACTAGTATGAGGGGGGGAATGAAAAATATTAAAGTGGAAGAAAATGAAATAAGCAGAGTTTTTGACAGTCTCTGCAAGCTCTCAAAGTACATGAGAGGCTGAGGGAAAGAATGAACTCTTTGATAATATGTGTGTATATAAACTATATAAATTCTGAGCTATTTGAAAAATAAGGGATGTACAAAGTAATGAGCTCCTCTTTCATGCCGAGTCCCAAACATAAGTTTCCTAGCTGGCAGAGATTTTATAGAGGGGAACCCACAGCAGGTGGGTGCATCTAAGAATGAAGAACTGAAGTTCCTTCCACCCCTGAGACTGCATATTTTACATGTTTCATAGACCACCTTGCTAGGAATCACAGCATCAAATTAAGTGATGCAAAAGTATTTGTGCTTCTCCAGTGTCATTTTATGACTCCCCAAGGAATACTTACGGGGGAATTATGTTGCACACTTAATAGCTGAAACAAAAAAATAACCGTTTGTGTTTTTATTTTAGCAAAAGTCTCATCAATTCCTAGTAAGTACATTATCTTATTTATAACTGTACTTCTATAGTCTATTGCTATGTGCACAAGACTATTATTAAGTTTTATGGTTATTTTTCAGTGGAGCAAAAGCCACTCCCTACGTCTCTCTCCACAGGGGCCACGCATCATGTTGAAAAAAGAAAAATAAAAAACATCACATGCAATGCCCAGATTTCTCCCACTAAATATCCTGTAGGTAGAATCCATCCATTTCTCTTCCCACCTGTTACAATGGCAACTATGTCTCTTCTATCAAAGATCAGCTCCTCCCCCTGTGATCTGTTCCATCAACTCTACCCAATCCTGAGAGCTCTCTCCATTAATCATCCCACTCTTTGCTGAATCTTCAACCTCCTCATCTCTGTTGCATCCTATTCATCAGTATCACATTTTTTATACATTTTTAAATCCTCTGGTGGCCCCCACCCCCTCCTCTATCTTCTAATGAATTGGACTGTGTACTTGAATCTACACCTATCATTTTAAAACATGTAATGCTGTTAGGGAACATATGTGTTTTCATTTATAAAAAAAATGTATGCTGCTATAGCTCTACTCCATTTCTTACTTTTTTCACTTAACATTTTATTTTCAAGATCTATATATGTCACCCTATAATCAGCCTCTTAGTTGCTTCTAATTTTATTTTATAAATCTATCCATGTCACTCACTAGTTGCTTCTAATTGCTGCATACTATTTACTGTCCAGTATACACCAACCACACCGTGCTTATCCACTCCCCTTACAACAGACCACAAGGTCACCACAATTCCCTGCTTACATCAATGATCTAGATCACGTTCTCTTTGAACTTCTGAGTTATTTCTCTAGAAGGCACACCTGAGAGTGGTATTGTGATAGATAAGGCATACAAACACTTAATTTCATTTTCAGATTGCTTTCTATAACTAATGAAACAATTTACATTTTCACCAGCAGTAGGGGGGATGTTCTGTTTGCCCCATTCTGCATAGCACTTGGTTTTAGCTCTCTTTCTAATTTTTGCCATTCTGATTGGCACAAGAAATTCTTTTTTGTTTTTTTGATTTGCTTTTCAATGCCTACTGATGAGTTCAACAATCATAGGTAAATGCAGATAATAATGTTAGTTACCATATAAACTTACTCTGAAAGCAAACTTCAAAATGTCAGCTCATAAATATATAGAACTTTATTAGAAATCTGAGAAGCCCTGGTTCCTGGGGTAATAAAGCAACTTAAAATAATACAAGAGGAGGTAAAAGCTATTTGGAAGGAAGCGTCTAGGATTTTATTGAGAGAGAACATTGCATACTTCATGGAAGTCAGGCAACATGTTGTTCAAATGTATCTCAGGTAGAGAAACACTGAGATTTTATAAACTGAATATCCTCGAGTTTTCTCTCAACATCATCTCCATCTGATTCCCATGTTGGGTCCGTGGGGAAGGGAAGG